ATTAATAAACGCGTCAATGATTCGGAGGCAAATTGGCACAAGTTCTTTTGAAGCTACAAGCCTTCAAGTTCCAAGTCTTCACGGTGAATTCACCTTTTACAGAATATTACAGCCTTAAAATATGAATTACACAAGAAAACACAAAAGTATATAAGAAAATATATGTGTTAGTATCCCTCTGTTCTAAACTCTTCATTCATTGCTTACTTTCTAATTCCATTTTATATCATTTCCAAATTCTCTTTTGTACATTGACAGGGCTTTTAGTCTATTTTTCAAATAAGTATATTCCTTCTATATTAAATACTAATGATGAGTCATAAAAAGCATCTGTCAAGCCTCATAATAGTCCAAAATGTTACATCCTTTGTGGAAGGGAGGGACCGATACTGTTCCTTGCCAATTTTCCCTCAAAAACATATGATAATCAAATAGTAACAATAATAACTGTGAACTCTCCAGTAAAAACAACCATGCTGATTGCCAAAGCTTCTAACAAATATGTAATTTGCTATAAATCTATAAAGTCAAGTCTTTTGTTGCTTCAAATAAAATGTACAGTTGGAGTTGCAGGGAACAATATTTGCTCCAAGACTATAACTATACAAATGATCGCATATTTAAAGTGATTACAAATTGAAAAAATGGTAGTTTTTACACAAAATGGTTTTTTTTAGCCGATCAGGGGAAACTTGGTTGGGCGGTGGCTGAGACCGTGGGAAAAGCTACCATAATTTCTTTATACTTTTAAAAGTGTTTTATCTATTTTTTATTTATTTTAAATTTTTAAATTCTTTTAAAAAAATACTTTTTTTGAATTTTTATTATTTTAGTATTTTTAAGAAATATTTTAGAAGTTTCTATTTTTTTGCGATTTTTTGTATTATTTTTTGTATTTATTACAAATTAAAATATGATTATCCTATTAAGTTATGTAAGGGTATAATAGGAAGATAGAGTATAGTTTAGTCCTATTTTGGGAAGATAAATAACATCGTCCTATTTGTGCATTTAGGGATTAGTTTAGTCCTATTTAGGGCTATTATCTCATAATTATTCTATTATAAAGAATGCTTAAAATGAATGTCAAGTTCATAGAACACACACTCCTTCCTTCTAATTGTAAGATACGTTTTGGTTTAATGCATGTTTAAAAATAATGATAAAGTGATTGTATTATATTTTTAAAATGTGAAAAGTAAGAAAATGTAGTGCGCATCCAAAAACAAGTAAATGATGAAATGATAGACAAAGATCAAAGTGAGAAATAAAAAATCATTGGTACCAATTTAGCAAAGTAAGAAAGTTTCATATTTTTAAGGCTCATAAAATGTGAATTCTGTTTTATAAAATAGGACGGAGGGAGTAACAGAACTTGGTGGAAAACAGGGGCGGATCCAGGACTGAGATGTGGGGTGGGCTAAGCAGTAAAAAAATTGTTACTCTAAATACAAGGTTTAGCTCAGTGTTGTTATCAAATCGAGCTTTTTCGACTTATATACTCGAGTTTCAGCTTGAATTTGCCTTTGATTTAATGACCAGAGCTTACAAGCTTCAGAGTTCAAACTTGAACACAAACTAGGTGCTGAGTTTGAATAATTATTCAAGCCCAGTTCGAAAATAGTGATGTTTGATTTGATCCGGATTCGACCCTATCGTTCACTTACAAATTATAGGAATAAATTACATATGGAGTACTAGTATATCTTAAAATTTAAACGTTTTCAGTGCAATTTAATAAATTTATTAATGATTATTAAAGATTTGAGTATTTGTTGAATAATTTGAACATGAACCTATTAAAGAGTATAGTCTAAACCATAGTCACATGGATCACGGTACACATCGTTACGCGGTACGAAAACGGGAACGCGGTTCGCTAATATAAAAAATCTGATACGCAGGGGGGTAGGCTTCTTCGGTACGCTATTTCGGTATGCGGTACGGTGTACCATAAACATATACTACCTACAATTTACTATGTATTAAGTACAAACTATAAATGTAATAAATATAATATAATACTAGTACTAAACAATTAACTTGACTAAAACATTAAACAAAAGGCTGAAGTACTTAAACAAATAAAGTAACTATATTAACAAAATTAATTAAAATATTAAGAACGAAGTCTAAGGTTCTGAACCGTGGAATTGAGTACGAAAGTCTTGAACAATTAAACCGTCTCTTTGGAGTCTCGAAGGAAGTACGAAAGTCAAAGGGTCGTTTAGATTTCAAAGGTACGAAATTACGAATAGGAAAGAGTCGTTTAGACTTTAGAAGTCGCGTTGCTTGGAGAGTAGAAGTCGCGTCGCTTGGACTGCTGCATCATCGTCCGCTAAGGGAAACTTGCGAACAACAAACGGGATGCGGCGAACTACCTGCAAGACAAGCGCGAACTGCGACAGAAATCCGCGTAACTGAGTCGCGACCGAGCAGCGACCGGCGCGCAACAATACCGTGATCCGGTACGCGCGATCCGGAACGCAAAACGCGGTACCTCAGCGATTTTTGTATCTATGGTCTAAACTTCTACATTCGAGCATGTCTATTGTGTGTTAAAATCGAACACCGAACTTCTATCGAACCAAACTCAAGTTCAATTTCGCACTAAGTAAATATTCATTTCATTTTCTTTTATTTGCAATATGTTTGATGGAGTATTAACTCCTAGAGAGAAGTGAGAGCTAGAGAGAGAAGTGCAATAAATACTTGCTATTAATGATTTGTGAACCCCTACAACTACTCCCAAGGGGAGTATTTATAGAGAAAATTAGGGTTGGGCTCCCAAGTCTAGGGCTTGGGAGGCCCATTTACAATTGGGCCACTACTGGGCCGAGTACAAAGAACGTAAAAATGACTAAGTATGGAATCCGATTCTGTGAGCTCTTTAATGCCGACGAGGGTCTGGCCGACGGAGCCATTGCCGACGAAGACATGGCCGACAGTGACACCCGATTCTCCTGTCTTCTGGGTCATATTCTGAGTCGATATCTTTCTGGCCGATAGAGGGCCTACTGACCGACGGAGGCCCCACTGGGTGACAGTTGTGCCTCTTATCCTTCTGAGTATGTGGGTCCTGGGGTCCAGACTCATATACTCCATCAGGAGTCCCCCACTCTCTGAGCTGAGATGCAGACGAAGTGAGGGAGAGTAGATTCCATAGTCTCGATGTTTTGTTGGCCGATGTGGCCGTCTCCTGTTTTGGTTCTTCATGTTTGGTCGTAGTATGCGCTTCACTGTGGACGAAGAAGGCTGGTGTTCCTCTGATGGTGCACGTTTGTTTGAGGACGATGAGTGTCCTGGCACAGTGGCTGATATGTGTTCTTGATTTGAATAGCCGGAGAGTGTTGTTTCTTCTTTCTGGTCGTTGGCGGTTGCCTTTTGTGTTTTGGCCGAGGAGGCCCCATAATTGCTTTTGTACTTCATGCTGAAGCGACGATACTCGTAGTTTGGTGTCCATGCTTTTGAGGACGATAACGGCACTAATCCAGAGGAAGGTGCGTATTTTGGTCTCATGGACGATGATGGTGTTTGGATCCGAGGACGTTGTGTTCCTGTTTTCTTATCTTGGCCGAGAGTGAAGTACGTGATCTCAAGGCCGTTGAGTGCCACGTGTCAAGGGACGACACGTGGTTGATACAATGTTGTTGTAGTTTGTGGACTTGTGTTTTTGGATTTTTTTTATTTTGTCCTTGTGTGCGTTTAGAGGCCGGTGTAGTCCCCCAGTCCCCCACTGCTTCAGGCCGAAGAGTGAGTGAGGGGTGAAGGAGTAAGATGTAATCCTAGGCCGAAGCGGGATCCCCGTATTCCCCTGAGTCCGAACCCTTGGCGATTCCTGACCAAGGTAACCCTGTGGGAGAACCCTTGGACGCAGGTCGCTTTCAAGGAGTTATCATCAGGGTTTAATACGAGGCCGATGGTTGTTGGGTTCTTTTTTACTTTGTTTTGGTGGCTGTTGAAAGGGCCCTGCTGTTGGTAATGTGTCATGCCGATACGGGGATACCTTGGGGGCTTTGAAGCTCAAGAGCGCGCTGTCATGAGGTGAGCCATTGAAGTGATTATTGTCTATTAGGGCTGATGTGGCCTCTGCACGTGGAGGCTCATCTCTCCTTGGCGTGGCCGTTGAATGTCTTGACCGTTAAGGATGTTGATTGCTGGTACGTTGGAAGTGGGCCGGTAGTGCTAGAAGTGGGCTGGTAGTGCTGGAAGTGGGCTGGTAGTGCTGGAAGTGGGCCTGGCCCATCTTCTGAACCGGTGGCAGCTTGTTGGGCCTTGGGGTGGTGGCCGTTCATGTACCAATGGGGGAGTGCCACGTGTAGTGACCGTTGGGGGAGGTCTATAAATACCCCCTTCCCGAAGGAAGTCCCCCATTTGCATCCCTTGGTAACGAAGTGCTGCCCAAATTCTTAGAGAGAGAAGCTTGCTCGAGTGTTCTTCCGTTCTTCAAAACTTCAAAGGTCAGTTCATCAATCTTTTCTCCGATTTCTTGCATGCTTTGCTTCCTTAGGTCTTGATTTAGTGTTAGTCAAAAAACCAACCTTAGATCTAAAGAAGTTCCTCTTAGGGCTCCCGTAGTTGTTATGATGAAGACCCTGGACGAATAGTACTACCCGTATGACGATGACGCCTCTGTCAAATCCCTTGACTACCGAGTGGTGGAGGAGTGTTGCGAGGAGATCGAAGATTTGAGCTCCTTCAAATCAGGGGAGAACCAGGACGAGGAGGCCGCCTCGTCATCTGAAGGTGAGGACGCAGAGGTCTCTCGTGCCATGGATGGAGCATCTACCTCAGCTACTATTCCTTGCCCAAAGCTGATGTCTGCAGTTAAGGGGGCCGCCCCGAAGAGAAGGCGCCAGCCGAAGAAAGGTCCCGCTTTTTCCTACTTGGATCTCACCAACGTTCTTATCATCAGGCCGCAGAGCTGCGCGGCCGAGTACCCGGTTGCCCAGATGTACGTGGGACCGTTTGGTAGGGTTAGGGCCCCTAAGCCGACGGACCACGTACTTAATCCACCGCCGGGCTACCTTGGGGCTCAGGTTTCCCCTCCATCCGTTCATTACGGAATATTTGGACATGGTGGAGCTTCCTCCGACCCTGCTGACCCCGAACAGCTATTCGTTGATCATCGGCTTTCTCTTTCGTTGTGCCGAGTTGGATTTCAAGCCGACAACGGCTCTCTTCATGAACCTATATCAAATAGGCCGGGGTAGCCACCAGAACTGTGCCGGCTATGCCAATCTGCAGCAGGTGAAGAATAGGAGGTCCTTCACTGATCTTCCAACGTCCATCCATGGGTGGAAAAGTAAGTTCGTCTTCGTGTCACTGGGCGAGAGTGGGACCGAGTTTCCTTCCGTCGGCCACAGCGGGAGATTTAACCTCCATGATGCGCCGAAGAGTTCAATCTTGGACGCTCAAGTGGCGGCGTTCTTGGAAGGAGGGTCGAGGAGCGTGAAAGAATATATCACGGAGTATAAGATGGCCGCCCTCGGCTTCATGAGGTACTTCGTCTACGAGGATGCAGAGAATGATGTTGAAATTTGGCCGAAGATGACTACCACCTTTGAGGAGGCCGATGGCCCGGATTTGGGCGTTCCCGCCGAAGCCAATGGTAATGCTTCCTCAACATACTTGATCCTTTTTTCTTTTCTACCCTTTGCCAATGTTTGTTTTCTTTTCGTGCAGACTTTGTCATGGATCGCAGATCCGTCATGAGCAGGGCTAAGGCAAAGGTGGCCGCTGAACAGGCCGCTAAAGATGCTGCGAAGCTGGCCGCAGAGACTGGAGCACAGCCGAGCTCTGGACAGCCATCGAAGCCGCCCACCCAGTCGAAGAAAAAACGACAAGCCGACGATGGCCAGAAGAAGCTGAATGAGGCGGTATGCAGTCTGCCAAGAAGTCAAAGAGGGCTTCTCCCTTGGCCGATGCTGATGTCGGGGTTGTGACTTTGCCGGCCGGAGACGCTGGAGGCTCCAATACTGCTGCCCTAGTGGACTTGACATCCGGCCCCTCGTCTACTGTTGTCTCTCAGCCTCCCCCTGTCATCCACGACTCCCGGAAGAAGCGGTCCAGCAAGGAGTTGGTCACGGGGACTTACAAATTGGAGGTTGAGTACCCTGTGAAGGGAGGCGTCTTTAACGAGGTTGTTGACGGTCACGACGTGATCTCGCAAGCCGTCCCAATCGAGGACCGGGCCTATCTTGACAAGCTTGGCAACGTCAGGATCTATGACGGTGGAATGGACCTCGTCGTCCAAGTACGACCCTTGCATACTCTGTTACTTTCGTCTCTTTTTTGTCACCATAGGTGTCGTCATCGTCCTAACTATTTCATTTTTGCAGGGGGCCTTCATGGTGATGGAGAGCCACAAGAGGCAGCAGTGAGAAATTGCTCGGCTGAAAGAAGCTGAGCAGAAGGCTGCTTCGGCCAAGGAGGCCATGAACTGCCTGGAGCGGCTACGAGGTGAGGTGGAGGCCCTGAAGAAGAGAGCTGACGAGGGCGATGCGGCCTACCGTCAAGTGGCGGCCGAAAGGGACGATGCCCTGAAGGGAAAATATGAGGCGTTGAAGGCACGTGAGGAAGCCTTGCGCCGTGCCGAGGAGGCGGAGAGGGCCAAAGTTGAGGCCGAGAAGGCCGCTGAGAAGGCCGCTGACGCTGCCCTTGATAAGTTCTTGGCCGAAGGCTGGAAAGCAGAAGAGCACCGGCCATGGTGCTATGAGGTTGTGGCGGCCCGGCTAGAAGATTGGGGCCAGAACAGTCCCGACGGCCAACAGTACTTTGAGAGGGAGATGTAGGTTTACTACGACATGGGCCAGCAACGGATGCAACGGCTTATCTACAGGAGGCTGCGTCGTAGATGCCAGGAGCTGAAGCTGAACAAAAAGTTTGCTCACAAGCTGAAGTTGCCTCCGAAGATGAAGGATCCAGAGGAGGAGGCCAAGCTTCCGGCGGAGGAGAGGCAAGCCCCCATCCTCAGCTCCAGCATCGGCAGGGAGGATTGGGATGATGAAGAGGTGTTCCTGGACTCTGCTTCTTCTCAGGCCGATGAAGCCATAAGTACGCCCGTTCCAGATGCCGGCACAGGAGAAGCTTGATCCCTCCTATTTCTTTTTTTGTTGATATGTAACGGCCGTAGTGCCTGTATATGTAAAGGCCGTTGTGCCCCCCTCTTTGTAATTTGAACTTTATGAATGGAAATGTTTAGCCGCCGCTTCTGGCTTTTATGCCTTCTTCGTCTTGTGGCACTCCCCCCTTTGTCCTTTTTGTTTTTACTTTGAAATTTTTCTAAGTGTCAAACAAAGGCTTAGGTAGTTACTTCCTGTGGTCGTGACCGATGAAGGGTTTCGCCCTTTGTTCGGCTGAGGGAGTGACGTCTTCCTCGTCCTTGTACTGTTTTTGTTATCTCATACTTTGGAAATGTTTCCAAGTGTTTAGCTAAGAGTAGGTAGTTGTTTCCTTTGGTTGTGACCGATGAGAGTATTGTGACCCTTGTTCGACCGATGGGATTTTTTCCACTTTCGGCCAAGGAGAATAGGTTGTTTCCCTTTCATGCCTTAGAATCTTTCGTCATTCATTGGGACTCTTGTCGGCCACTCGGGATGCCACTCATCGGCATACCCCTTTTCCTTGTGTTCAACTGATATGCACTTAGTCAATTTTTGGGAATTTTGTTTTTATGGCTCGAGGCCGACAGGTGCACGGTCCATCGGCTTCCCTCTTTTATTTTTGGGGATTTCGCTTTAGGTCGGCGAGTGCACGGTCCTTTGGTTGTCCCTCTTTTATTTTAGGGGATTTCGCTTTAGGCCGGCGAGTGCACGGTCTTTCGGTTGTCTCTCTTTTATTTTTGGGGATTTCGCTTTAGGTCGGTGAGTGCATGATCCCTCGGTTGTCCCTCTTTTAGTTTCTTCCTCTTTACTTCTTTGAGCGAGGAGTGGTTTCCTTGTTTCAGGCTTCGGCCGAGGGGGTTGCTATTCCTTTGGCCGGTAAGGAGTCCTACTGGATCGTCCTATGATCTCGGGGAGGTCCCGTCGTCTATTTATGACGCAGGCTAAGGCTTTTGGTCGATTACCAACGGCTGTCGTTCCTCAACCCCGAGTTTGGGGATTTCTGTCACCTCGGCCATGATTTCAGACCTGTCGTCCTGCGATTTTCGCGTGTGAACGACGCGGTGAGCTTCCCATTTCAAGACGTGGACCGTTTGCGGGCCCCTCGTCCTGGGTACATCGTCGGCTTTACCTGAGCGTCCGCTCTAAGGCGTCGATACGATGTGCTCTGTCTGCCTTACCTGAGCGTCTTGCTCTAAAGGGTCGATGTAATATGGTATCTTTTCCTTAAACTTTTAGAAAAAAGCAAGTAGAATACAACTTTTATGGATAAGTGGCTCCAGGCCGAGTGTGGTAATCGATCAATAACTCGTGGGAAGGTGAGGGCTTTGTCGGCTTCACCGTCCTCGGATTATTGATAGAATTTCACCAAGTGATGTACATTCCACGTTCGTGGTACATTAGACCCATTTGGGTGTTTAAGTTTGTAGGTGACGGGTTTGACTACGGCACTGACGATGTAGGGGTTTTCGTACTTGAGTGCCAGCTTGCCACCTTTCGTCGGCTTGCTCGCCTCCCTTCGGCGGAGGATGTAGTCCCCCTCTGGAATTCCCGGGAACGTACCTTGGCGTCATAGTATGATTTTACTTGACGCGGGTAGTTCTCTGCTCGGATGAAGGTCTGCTCTCGTCTTTCTTCGATCAGGTGGAGGTCGATCTTCATGCTTTCTTCGTTGGCCTCAGGTTCATATTGCTCCACCCGTCGGCTGGGTATGGTGACCTCTGTGGGCGCCTTTGCCTCAAAACCATAGCAAAAGGCAAAGGGTGTTTCGCCCGTCACCCTCCTCGGCGTGGTACGTAGCACCACAGAATGTTGGGGAGCTCATCGGCCCAACTACCTCCTGCGTCCTAGAGTTTCTTCTTCAGGTCCTCTAGAATGGTTCTGTTGTCATTCTCAACTTGCCTGTTACCTTGAGGGTATGTAACGAAGGAGAAGCGATGATTGATTCCCTAATCCTGGAGGAGTTTTTGGAAGGGTGCGGCCTCGAACTGGGTGCCGTTGTCAGATATAATCTCCTGGGGAACGCCGAAACGGGTGAGGATGTTCTTGTGGATGAACCTCTGGCACCTGGCCCCTGTAATGCTTGCCAGGGCTCCGCTTCGACCCACTTGGTGAAGTAGTCGACTGCGACGATGATGTAGCGGTTGTTGCCGGCAGCTCTGGGCAGGGGGGCGACCAGGTCAATCCCCCATCTTGAGAATGGGATTGCGGTGCTGACCGGGCGTAGTTGACGGCCGGCCGACCAGGGGCCTTCTGAAGTACCTGGCATGCAGTACACTTCCTTGCAAAATTAGCACAATCCTGTGCCATCGTCGGCCAGAAATAATCTTGGACGACGAGGCGGCGGGACATGCTGAAAGGGCCCTGGTGTGAGGAGCAGACACCACAGTGAACTTCCTCCATGGCTATGTCGGCCTCATCCTGGTGTAGGCATCGGAGAAGAGTGTCATTGTAGGATCTCTTATAGAGTTTCCCATCTTCAATGGTGTAACTTGGAGCCATGAGTTTGGCTAGCTTGGCCCTCTCCTCGTCCTGGGGTAGCTCTCTCGAGGTGATGAAAGACATGGTATCGGTGATCCAGTCCTTCGGTCGATGCTGGATGCACATGACCGGGCTGGCATGGATGTTGGACATGCTGAGCTCCTCGATCTTGGCTATTTTGGAGATGTGCTCCGGAGTGTCTGTGATGAGCTTGGAGAGGATGTCAGCCTAACCATTCTCCGCCCTTGGGATCTGTGTGATCTCATGGGTTTCAAATGCCTTGAGCAACTCCTCAGTCGCCTGTTTGTACTGCTTCATCCTCCCTTCTTTGGCCTCGTATGAGCCCTCGATCTGGCCCACCACCAGCTTGGAGTCGCATTTGATCTTGATGTGACGGGCATTGAGGCCGGCGGCGAGTCTGAGGCCGCTGAGGAGGGCCTCATACTCGGCTTCGTTGTTGGACACCCTGAAGTTGAAGCGGATGGCATAGTAAGCTCTGAATCCTTCAGGGGAGATGAGGACGACACCACCCCCACATGCTTTTGCGGCTGATGAACCATCAGTGAAGAGGGTCCATGTCTCGTCCGACTCTGGCCTGGGTATGGTGGCGGCCGTCTTCTTTGCCGTGCACTCGGTGACAAAGTCAGCCAAGGCTTGCCCTTTGATAGATGGTCTTGGCTTAATTTCAATCTGGAACTAGCTAAGGAAGATTGTCCACTTCACCATCCTCGAGGAGCTAGTGGGGCTCCTCATGAGGGCGCCGAGGGGCTGCTGAGTCAACACGTGGACGGCATGGGCCTGGAAGTAGTGTCCTAGCTTCTTCACTGTGTGGACGATGGCCAGTACCGTCTTCTCAACGGGAGAGTACCTAAGCTCGACCTCCCGTAGCGTCTTGCTGACATAGAAAATAGCCTTCTGCACCCCTTCATCCTCACGAATGAGCACGGAACTGATGGCCGACGTGCTCACCCCTAGGTACAAAAAGAGGGTTTCACCGGCTTTGGGCTTGCAAAGCACGGGAGGGGAAGATAGGTACTGCTTCAGCTTCTCGAATGTTTGTTGGCACTCCGTCGTCCACTTGAAGTTGTTCGCCTTGCGCATGATTTGGAAGAAAGGGAGAGACCTTTCAGCCGATTTTGAGAGGAAACGGCTCAGGGCCACCAGGTGTCCCGTCAGCCGTTGTACCTCTTTCACATTTCGTGGTGGCTCCATGTTAACAATGGCCTGGATCTTCTCCGGGTTTATTTCAATGCCCCTTCGGCTGACCATGTAGCCGAGGAACTTGCCTCCCTGGACGCCGAAGGTGCACTTCTTGGGGTTCAGGCGGAGCTGGAACTTCTTCATGATTTCAAAAATTTCCCGGAGGTCGTCAGCATGAGTGGTAGATTGCTTGCTCTTGATGATCATATCGTCGACGTATGCCTCCATCGTCTGACCGAGGACTGCTCTGAAGATTTTGGCTACCATCCTGGTGTATGTGGCGCCTGAATTTTTGAGACCAAAGGCCATGACGAGGTAGCAGAAAATTCCCTCCGGGTCATGAAAGCCGTCTTCTCGGCGTCATCCTCATGCATGAAGATCTGGTGGTATCCTCTGAAGGCGTCCAAGAACGACATCAACTCGCAGCCCGCCGTCTCGTCCACCAGCTGATCTATGTTGGGGAGAGGGAACGGGTCCATGGGGCACGCCTTGTTCAGACTTCAGATCAGTGTAATCGACGCACATTCTGATTGTCGGTGGCTTCTGGGCGAGGACGACGTTGGCCAGCCAGGTTGGGTACTTCACCTCCTTGATGTGGCTGATTGAGAGGAGCATGGTGACCTCCCCCTTGACGAAGTTTTGTCTATCAGCCGAAAGGTAACGCCGCTTCTATTTGATTGGCGTAGAGGCGGGATCGACTGAAAGCCGGTGAGTGATCACCTTCCGGCTGATGCCAGGCATATGTCATCGGTGTCAATAGAGTCCCTGGTGAAGCCGGACAACGGTGTCCGTATCGGCTTGAGCAATGCCCTGTCCAGGTTCAACTGCTTGAAAGTGTCCAGGTACATGACATTGACGGAGCTCCCCGTGTCGATGTAAGTGCGGTGGATGATAGAGTTGCCTATCTCACATCGGACGACGAGGGTGTCTCTGTGAGACGCGGGGCTCGGAGGCAGATCCTTGTCGGTGAAGGTGATCGCCTCCGTCCGCTGCTTCTTCGGTTGGGGGGAGCGTGGGACACTTCTCCAATGTAAAGGGATATGGGCCCATTTCTTCCTCTGGGTGGCCGAGTCTCCCCCAGTATTGCCCCCCACAATGAGGTGGATGTGGTTCTTCTTCAGAGGAGGCTCCTCGAAGTCTTCATCGTCATCGCTAAGTCTGCCGATCTCACGCTTCTTCGTAGAGGGTTCGCCCCCATTTTTGACGGTGTTTACCCACGTATTTTTGCATGGGCCACCTTTAACAAATTGGGAGAGTTCCCCTGGCGAATCAGCTTCTCGATGGCTCTCGTCAGCGTGACGCAATCATCGGTGTTGTGGGAGGTGTTCCTGTGGTAACAGCAGTAGGCACTGCCCTGATGGACGGCGTAGATTTCCTTCGCCGACCGAGGATCCCGTTCAATGAGATCATGTTCCTCGGCATAATCGAGGATGGAGCTGACCGAATGAGTGAGGGGGGTCTTCAGCCTTTCCATCCTCGGCCGCCATGGGCGGTCCTTCTTGTTCTGTCCGCCACCCCGTGGCGGCTCTGTCCTCCCTGACCTCGGTCCCCGGCCGAGGGCGCGCCTGGAGCTGACGCAGTGTTTGTCTTCTTGGAGGGGTGCCCTCCGTCCTTCTTGTGGCTGTGGAGCTCGTCAGCGTCAGTGTATAAGTTTCCTCGCTGGAGCGCCTTCGTTTAGGACCTTGGAGGGTCAGTGATGAGACTCCTCGCATATGGGGTGCTGCGGAGGCCGTCCTGGAAAAGGACAAGGAGGGTGCGCTTATCAGCCCCCTCGACCTCATTGGTCTCCCTTGTCCATCAGTCGATGAACGGCCGAAGTGATTCGTCATGTTGCTGCTTGACGGAGAGAAGGGTGAAATATTTCTTCGCGCGCTTTCTCCCGGCAAAGTGGGTGAGGAAGCGTTGGGCAATCCTGCCACGAGTCTATGCTCCCTTCGGGGAGCGCGTTAAACCACTCGTACGTTGGCCCTTCGAGAGTGGAAAGGAACCAACGGCAGAGGTATTCATCCGACGCGTTCACCATAAGCATGTTGTTTTGATAGCGGCTAAAGTGCTCCTAAGGGTCGGAGCGGCCATCATCGGTCTTGATGGCGTTTCCCCTGTAATTCTCGGGAATGGGAGCCGAGAGTACTCTCGCAGTGAACTGAAGGGAGTCCTAGTCCGAACTTGGATGATAGGGTCACCTCGTCCCTCGGCCAACTCCCTCTCCAGGGCGCTGACCTTGTGCATGAGTGTGTTGTAACCAGGATCCCGGGAAGTGTTGGTCGTAAGGATGGCGCCTCCATCTGGGCTCGTCCCGAGGGCCTTGACGGCCATAGTGGCGCCTTGCTGGTTGCGCATGCGGGCTTCGTGAGCCGTGTTGATTCGATGGGCGCATCGTCCTTGTGCAACTTTCATTGTTGCCTTTGTCCGGGCTAGGCCGATCCGCTGTCCGGGATACGAACCCCAAGCTTTCCTTTGGTGAGCCAGGCTCACGTTCACCAATCCGCCCCGCCATCCTCTCCGAAACAAGTCGACGGCGCATGTCACCTAGCCTATTAAAGGCTAAAGCTTTTCCACGCGCTGGGGCCGGTCCAGCTTGAAGTGAGGAAGCAGGGTGGGAGTGGGATGACGACGTGTCCTGGGGCACCACCCTTCGTCGTTGCCTAACTTGATGGCCAGCGGCTGGGGCTGAGGAGGCGGTGTAGTGATCTCCCCAGTCCTTAGCATGAGTGCACTAAGGACGGTGGGGTTCTGGGCCAGGCTGGCGATGATGGCCGAGAGAGCGGCTTGGAGCTGAGGGTCAACGGCGGAAGAAGCCGACTGCCCCAAGGCATTGTCGCCCTTCTCCAGGTGCTTCTTTTCCAGGCCGATGCGGGCGTCGAGGGCACCGCCGTTGAGCTGATGGCGAAGATCATTCGTGAGGTCGATGGCCTCCTGGAAAAACATCCCCGCCCGCGGCCTTGTCGGCCGTAGCGTCCTCCTCGTGTTCCCTGTTCTTTTGGGCCTCGGGGATCGTCTTGTCGAGGAGGTTGCGGTTTGACTTAGTTCTTCCCATGATCAATTAGTTGTGCTTGGTAGCGACGAAGGATTGTTCTAGCTCTCAATGAAAGCACCAAATGATAGAGTATTAACTCCTAGAGAGAAATGAGAGCTAGAGAGAGAAGTGCAATAAATACTTGCTATTAATTATTTGTGAACCCCCTACAACTACTCCCAAGGGGAGTATTTATAGAGGAAATTGGGGTTGGGCTACCAAGTCTTGGGCTTGGGAGGCTCATTTACAATTGGGCCACTACTGGGCCGAGTACAAAGAATGTAAAAATGACTAAGTATGGAATCCGGTTATGTGAGCTCTTTAAGGCCGACGAGGGTCTGGCCGACGGAGCCATGGCCGACGGTGACACCCGGTTCTCTTGTCTTCTGGGTCATATTCTGAGTTTATATCTTTCTGGCCGATGGAGGGCCTACTGGCCGACGGAGGCCCCACTGGGTGACAGATGTGCCTCTTATCCTTCTGAGTATGTGGGTCCTGGGGTCCAGACCCATATACTCCATCAATGTTCATTATCAATTCTAAAAAACGTTTTCAATATTGGTATGAATTAAATTACTTCTATAATATTATAAAACTAATACGAAAAAAACAATTGTTGTACATAAAACTAATTATTATAAATAATCATCCCAATTTCAAAATTCAATTGAAATTTTCAATTCTTTCTTACGCGTCCAAACAATAAATAAATCATTTTTTAATTTTCATTTGTATAATAAATAAATTATTCTCTAATCTTTAATTATATCTTTAATCATTATATAAATTTATAATGAATTAAACACTATTTTATTATGTACTCAAAAATTCAAATTGTTATCAAATTGTTCCCTAACCCTAAAAGGCTAAAAATTATAATACACAATAACAAAAAGTCACAAAAAAATAGATTAAAAATCTAAAAGAAAATTAGAGTTAGAGTATACCTGGACTCCTGGAGGCTGGAGGCTGGAGCAGTGGAGGCGTGGAGCTGGCCGCTGGAGGCAGGTCCGCAGGCAGACTGGCAGAGCCGGAATCGGAGAGCTGAGAGCCGGAGTCCGGAGAGGAAGGACGGCCGACGCAGGACCCTGGACGCGTGGACGGCGCGGCTGGTGGCCTGGTGTTCGCGTCTTCGTCGCAGGCACGCAGCTCACAGATTCTTCGTCGCAAGCTCCGTCTTCACTCTTCGTTCTTCTTCGACCTTCGCAAATTGCACTTCAGTTCGCGCAGCTGCGCACTCGGTCTAAGGACGTAACTGATAAGCGCAGCTACGCTGGTAAGGGCCTTCCGCCTTCAGTTTCCGCAAGGCACGAAGGAGTGTTGGGCTGTTGCTGTGTACTGGGCTGGTAATTAAATTTCGGGTAGGCTGGGAATTTAACGTATACCTATACTAACAAAAAAAATGGGCTGGCCTGAGAATTTACGGAAATATGAAAAAAGAATTTTCTTTTAGACTATATTTTATTTTTAATTATATCAAATAATAGATGCTTCTTTTTAAAATACTATGTTATTATTTGATTATTGTATTCATTATTCATTTATAGATCTAAATTTCAATCTTATCAGTTGTTGTTTGTATTGTCATGTGATGGCCAATTATTATATAACAAAATAAGAGTCTCTTCGGTAATGCTAAAATTGATCGAAAAGGCTAACTGTGCTGAAATTAATAAAATCATAATTGAAATGACTGAATTGATTGAACCTATTAATTTTTGAAAGAAAAATAATACATGCTATGAATTAAAAAACTGATATGAATAATGAGCTAGAATGATTTTGTAAAGTAACTTTAATCGAGTTAGCCAAAAAATAACTATAACACACAACTTAATGAGCGAAATTAAAAATTCGTGATAGATAAAAAAAGAATGATAAGACCGATAAACTAAAAACGAATGTATCAAATGGACACTAAGGAACTTAGGAACATGCAAGTAACACTAATATCCAGTGGCGGAATTGGGGAGCAACCTAGGCTTAGGGGCACCCCAAATTTAAAACTGTTTTAATTTGAGTGTAACAAATTTCATATAGAAATTTGCCCAATTTTTTATACCGGTCTAGTCTGACTTAGTGCTCTCTCTTCAACTTTAATAATATCTATTAAAATTATCAATGTGTGTATTAATTAAAATTTTATAAGACTTTGAACTTTAAAAAAATACTCCGTATTATTAATTATTCTAGATAATATTGCCTCAAATAAGAAATACATTTTGAGTATTAAGAAAGATTGTCAAACATTTGGAGTCCGTTTGGTAACACTAAAATTGGCTTATTCTGCTGATTAATGACAAAAAATATTTAAAATATTTGTTATTAATAAATAAAATAAAAAATTATATGATAAAATAGCCAAAATGATCCTCTAGAGTAACTTCAGTCAATACAGCCAGAAAAGTAACTACAACCTTACTTTTTCTGCTTATTACATAGTATAACGCGCGAAATCAAAAGATATGTGCTTGGTGAAAAACTGACCGATAGGCCTGATAAATCGAAAAAAGGGGTCACCAAACAGACTCTTAATATATTCCTTATTAAAATAAAATCATACATTTAGTGGATAAGAATTGTTGTTTGAGCATTGAAACCCAAATTTAATCTTGACCGTACAGCCAAAGCAATGCTTCTTATCCAAACAATAGATAAGACCCAGATAATAAAATAGCCTCTTCTTTGGTTAATCTATGACATCGCCGGCTTGGTCATATGTCTCTTGATCGTTTGAGTACTTTAGTTCGTGGGACTCTTTCATAAATATAGAAGGCCAGTCAGAAAAAGAATATTCGTTGCAATATAGAAACACGTGAAATATTAGCAGGAGAATTTAGTGGAGTGATTGACTTCCTCTCCATCTTATCTTGTCGGCACAGCCAAAGGAAATTAAAGCAAGTTGCTATTTTTTTGAAGATACCAAGGTATTTAATGAAACAAAGAGAGTGAAAATATGTAAACACACGGAAGATCTATCGCAGAGATGAGGTCTTTTTATGTTTTACATTTCCTGAAAAAATTTATAATTTGTTTACTGTATTCTACATCAATTTCGAGATTTTGTCATCATATATTTAGATGTTCCTTGTTAAACGGCTTTGAAGTTGATATTTTGTTTGAAGTTTGATATTTAAGATTTTTTGCCAATCGCTGAATTAAAAATTTACTTACATTGCTCTTATTGAATTGGTGAAGTCTGCTATTTTTGCACTTTGTGATAAGGAGAATACATCAATATTGTGTTTTTTAAATTTGAAGAGGATTCCCATGAATCTTAGGAAGATGGTGTCGGGTGGATTGAAAGTTAAAAGGGAAGAATTATATTTAAATTTACTGAATCGTGGAGCCACACACTTTAATCTATTAAAATATATAGAAAAAATGTAAAAATTTGATATGACACATATATAAGCGTATTCATATGAAGAGTCGAATGGGATCAGAAAATATAATATATTCTCAATTTATGTAAAATACAATCATAGAAAATCATAGTGATGATCTTTTAAAGGTTTTCAAACACTTCTCGATAGACAACATTTTTTGTTATATGGCATGGTTTTCCCTCATCATCCAATATTAGTATTTTGAGCCTGTCTCTCGATGTGACCCTGGAAATTGCCACATAGAGCTTACCATGTGTAAAAACAGGGCGCATCAGGTAGAGCCCGACCTTCGAAAGCGATTGACCCTGGCTTTTGTTAATAGTCATCGCAAAACATAAGCTTATAGGAAACTGCCTCCTTTTAAACTTGAACGGAAATCTGGGATCTGATGGTGCTAAATCCATTATGGGGAGTAAGACTCTATCACCACTATTTTCCCCTGTAACAACTTTGCTGTTATTATATTCTTTCCCAAATGATTCACCTGCAATCTTGTTCAGTTACATGACCAGATGATTGATCAATATTTCTCATAAGCATTACAGGGACTCCAACTTTTAATATCAATCTATGCTTTGGTACACTAGAACATGAAATATCATTTAAGAACTCAGTGGTGAACCATTCACTTTCCAATTCATAATCCTCATCTTACTGACACAATGTGTCTGAACTCAAATACTCTACTTCATCCCCATCAATCAAAGAAAGCACCCAATCATTGACGTAATCAACTTTTTCCAATGTTGGAGCAAGGATTGCTCTTTCTTAAAAGAAGTTGGGTTTGTTAAAATTCTGCACTATTTGAGCATAACTACTGAAAAAGATGCATATTTACCACATTTGGCAAGTGTACCTCCTTAAATTTCTGAATGATTGCAGCATCATCACATACCCTTTTCATAGGAAATGTAGGAGGGGAGCGGGGGTTACTCGATTTTCTATATTCAACCTTGAAAAGTTGTTCTTTATCTACCATATCAGTTAACTGCTTAGGCAATGCTAATGAACCATCATGCTTAAATATATTTAATAAAACCAAATCATACAAATAATCTTCAATTATTTTTTATCTATGACTTTTTTACAATGAAGTTTTACCTTATCTAGCTCATCAAGCATTTCAACACACGAATTGATTCCACAACACAGAGGCTTCACGATCAAAGAGGACAAATGTTGTTGAATCTGTATCATCCATGACTCGAACTTTCACACAATACCTTAAAAAACTCATGGTTAATAATGTTGTTATAGAAGCTTTAAGGTGAACATTGTGTTCTACATATAGAAGTTACCTAGGGGTAACCCTAATGACATGCTTTAGGCATACATCACAATAATACATTTTTAAATCAGGGACGTACTACTTTGCGTTTGCATTCGCATGCCAGTACCACCAATCATTTGTGTCCATTGAAGGCAATACGATAGCAAGACTCATATACGACATTTCATGAGTAAGATATTTGTAACAAATAGATATATAAATGAATGTAGTATAAGTTTAAAGGTCTACAATGGTATAGTACATAGTTGAGTTAAAAAACTTAAAAAGTGATGTGTGGTTGTGAGAGACATAAAGGGATGGTTCTATTTTTTCAAAAAAAAAACAATGATTCTAATTAAATTTTCTTGCGGAAGCAAAAAAAAAAACCTGTTGACTATCTTTGAGAGATAAAATAGATTTGACAGGAGTAGATAAAAAGTCTTCCTCACTATTGGTAGACGAATGATCATGGTGTTGGGTCAAGGTATGAGATGGGGTTTCACCTCTTTGAACCTGTAAGTAATTAAATTGTTGTCAAGCATTATAATTCATTGCTGACCTTACTGTTAAAAAATTTATAGAAGATGTGATAAAAAGATTTGTAAATACCTTGTTCTAAATAAACGGGCCTCTTCACAATCAGGATTGTATAGCACTTTAGTACAATGCATGGCATTTTGCAGGTGCATTATTCCTGAAAAATAAATGAGTTAGTATAACAAACATAAGGGCATATTATAAAAGAATAAATTGATCACATAGAAAAATTAGAACCTTTGTAAAGTCTCACTTTAGCGAGCTGCACGATCACAACAACGTTATCTTTCTTCCCTGAAGAGAGAAATATGTTCAACTCATCAACATATGGTTGAAAGAGAGTGCATCTTATTTTGCAACGGAGCATAAAAGGCATTGTTGAAGTCATTAGAGTTTAGGT